GATTTGTTCTGTGAAAACTGTTCCCATGTCATAATTATGAGGATAAGGAAAGCTAATCAACAGCATAAAGAGGAAAGCTCTCTGTGTTTAAGCACTTATTTCCTGCCCAGAGAAGAGCCTGAATTCTCCTATGTTGTCAAGCATCCTAACCTACAGGGGGACTGTGAAAGCACAAGAGAACCTAGAGCATGCAACTAAATGTCACACTTGAATCTCTCACTTGCATTCAACAAATTTAAAATTTTTAAAAATGATTATAAAAACAATGAAAAATAATTATTGTTAACATTTGTGGGTTTTGTTTTTTGGTTTTTTTTGAAACAGTATATCTCTTTCTCTCTGTCACCCAGACTGGAGTGCAGTGGCATGATCACTGCTCACGGCAGCCTCAAACTCTTGGGCTCAAGCAATCCTCCTATTTCAGCTACCTGAGTAGCTGGGACTACAGTCATGCACAACCACACCTGGATAATTTTTAAAATTTTTTTTAGTTAGACGGTAGGGGTCTTGCTTATATTGTCCCAGGCTGTCTCACTCGGTCTCAAGTGATCCTCCCACCTCAGCCTCCCAGTGTGCTAGGATTACAGGCATGAGCCATCACACCTGGCCTGTGTATTCTCTATATGTATATTTGTTTATTATACATATGTATATATTTTTAATTCTAACTTTTTTTACTGAATAGTCTAAAACAAGTATTTCCCCCATGTTACTGAGTCTTTGGACAATTTTTTTATAAAGCTATATGAATCATAGTCTTTGTTCTAGAAGTTACTTAAGATTCACATATTTGGAGGCATTTTCCCCCTACTTTTTCACAATTAAGACACTGCTGAGATCACACTTATATATTACTCTTTGGCTACATGTCTGATTATATTTCCTTAGGTTAAATTTATAGGACTGGAATTGCTAGGTCAGAAGGTAGGAATATTTTTACTATATCTTGCCAAATTACTTTTCAGAAAGTTTGGGCTGGTCTTTCTGTCTGTTAACCCCATATGAGGGTACCTTTATTAATAGTATGAGCTTGCTAACATTGAGTATCATTGCATTTTTGTCTTCAATAATTTCATAGGTGAAAAACTGAACATTATTTTTAAATGTTCTATTTAGTAGTAAGAAAACATTTTATTTCCATTTTTTATCTTTTACTTTTTTGTTGTTCTAGAATTGCCCATATAAAACCCTTATGCCTATTTTATGTGTGAGAAGTGGATTGGGACATTTTTCTTATTGATAGATACATCAGGTCTCTTTTTAAATGAAAGATATGCTGATCTTTTGTTATAATCATTGCAAATAGGTTTTTCAGGCTATAATTTTTATTTTGTTTTCAGTGTTCCAGAAGTTAATTTCCTGTAGTCATATTTATTGTTCTTTATGTCTTGCTCAATTGCTCACGTGCCTATAAAATCTTCCTCTAGCCTAATTTTGATTTATCTTCTCTTTTTTGTTTTTATAGTTTAATTTTTTACATGTAATCTTATCTTTCTAAATTTTATTTTTGTGTATGGTGTAAAATTGAGATCTTATTTTTTTCTGTAAGAGGAATTCCAGCAACATATTTTTGTAGTCCATAGCCAAGTTCCTCTGATGGTGTTTCTCAGAAGGCTCTTATTTGTATTGGTTATCATTATCTTTCATATACTCATACATTATTGTCTTCTTCCTTTCCTCACCGAGCATTTATTAGCTATTGATTTTGATAAAATTTTTATTTTACTATGTAATAAATTACCCCAAAATATAGCATCTTAAAATAATAAACATCTATTATCTCTCAGTTTCTGTGGACCCGGAATTCAGGATAGGAAATCGGGAGTGGTTTAGCTAGGTGATTCTGGCTCAAGGTCTTCCATGAGGTTATAGTTGAGGAGCTGTAGTCATCTGGAGGCTTGACTGGGGCCAGAGGATCTGATTCTAGGAGAGCTTACTCGTATAGCTGTTGGTAGGAGGGCTCAGTTCCTTGATGGCTGTTGACAGGTAGCCATAGTTCCTCACCATGTGGACTTTTCCATAGGGAGGATTGAGTGTCCTTATAACATGGCATCCGGCTTCCCCCAGACTGCGTGATCCAAGAGAGAGAATAAAGCAGGAGGAGTCAGTGTTTTTTATGACCTAGTCTTGGAAATGGCATTCCATCACTTCTGCCGTATTGTACTGGTCCCAGAGAGCAACCCTGAGATAATGTGGGAGGGGACAACCTGTGCAGTATGAATTATGAAGAGGCAGGATCACTGAGAGCCTCTTGGAGGCTGGTTACCACACTTTTTTTTCCTAAGAAAAGAAATTTAGAGTCATTATTTCTCCCTTTGTATAGATGCCTTCCTATTCAATATCATTCTGTCATTTAGCCCAAGGGCAGCATTTGAAAGTTTCTTTTTCTCTTAGTTTTCTGTCCTACAAACCATATCTGATTCTTAGATTTAAAACCCAGTAGAGTTTTTTCATCTGAGGCTTTACTGTCACTGTCATTACAACTAGCTCGAGGACAAATTTTCCTTCATATACTAGTATATTATCTTTTTACTTTCCTCGTCTAGCATTTATTGGCTATTGATTTTTTTAATGCACAACTTTCAGTGGAAGGATATTGATTTTGATGAAGTAATAAAAGAAATATAAATTGCAAAGAAATAAAACTTAGAGTTTTTATGTGTATATACTTATATGCCTGTAAAAAATTGGCACAAATATGTATGTGCTCATATACATGAGCACACACACTGTCTTTGAATAGCAGGGAAGAATCTCAAAGTTTTAGAGGGGGGAGGGAAGGTCCCAGAGAAAGAAAGAAACTTACCCAAGGCCACACAGTCATACATAGTTAATGAAAAGCTTTCCACCCTCCATCCCAAGCCTGACTCACTAATTTGTAAAATATAGAAAATGACACTGGGCGGCTACGTGTTTGAAGTTAGAGTGTGTTTAGAAGGGAGAGGGAGTTCTCAGCAAGGTTTGGAGGCTGGAGGTCTCACTCTGCTTCTGTCCCTTTGCTTCCCTGCACTTTGGCTGTGGCTCTTCCTAGTCAACTCCAATTTGGACTGGTAGGAGCCAGAAAGTGCTGAGCACACATCAGAGTGTGGGTAATTAGGCAGTTTCTTGGCTCCCAAGAGCCCCTGACTTGTTTGTGGATTGCGATCCATGACTCCCTCCATCATGCATTTTCAGAAAGCAAACTGGCAATCAAGTAGTAATTGTTTCCTTCTGTGCTTCTGTGTGGATTTCTCATTCCGAAGACTGCCTGGCAAGGAGGAAATTGGCTCTGAAAAAAGTAAAGGGACCTGGAATTAGACATCAGGCCTGCAGTGTGGTGCATGTGGCAGCCCTACAGCTCACATTTTCCAGTAGAGTCCTGATTTCAAATATTTTATCCTAGTGGCCTTATAAATAATCCAGGTGCCCTAGAAATTCCACCATCTAAAGCTTGTTTTCTGGAGTGTTTCTTATTGCTGGAAAAAAGCGCAGGAATCCTTTGTTAGACTGTGTCACCCCAGTTTTGGTTTGAAAAATATATCACTGTACTTATGGGAAGACTTTTTTTGTTGTCATTGTTAAATGGTGGGGTTTAGAAAGGTGAAAATGGTCCTATTTGGGGCATATCAAATTAGAAATAGGTGACCCAATATCCTAGATCTCTGAGGAAATGTAAGCACTCTTTCTCTTTAGATATTAACATTTATTGAAGTATGTATGGAGGCGTTCAGTCAGATTCCTCTGCAACATCTACTGGGTGGAGGCATGATACTGGGAATCAGCTAAATATGACACATCAGCTAAATATGTCAATCAGCTAAATATGACACAAATTCTGCTTTCAGAGAGTTCCCCTCCCACAATGGGAGATGAAGTATGGATACATATAATAATACAAGTTTTAAAGCATAGGTAGGTTGGGGACTATAGAGATCTCCCAATTGGGAAGATCCAGAAAGATGCCAGTTCACTAAACTCTCACCAAAATGAGTGTAGTAATTATTATCTATTGATGGGTGATAAACTAACCCAAATACAGTGGCTTAAAGCAACCACTTCCATTTATTGCTTTATAATTCCATGATTTGGGCAGTGTTCTGCAGGGATGGCTCAGCCCTGTCCCACATGGTGTCAGCTGGGGTGGCTCACTGAGGCCAGAGAATCCAAGATGGCTTCCTTCATACATCTGTCACCACAGCCGGGAGGGCTGGGGCAATTGGGGCTGTCATTCCAGCAGGGTAACTGGGCTTTGTTACATGGTCTTTAGGGTTGAAGAGTGGAAGCTGTCAGACCTCTTAAGGCCCAGGCCCAGAACTGGCACAGAGTCACTTCCACCGTATTCTGTTGATCAGAGCGAGTCCCCAGCCCAGCTCAGAGTCAAGATCCACCCTTTGAGAGAAGAGTAGGATGCACATACACGAATAGAGGAATCTTTGGCGGCCATTCATTCAATCTACTAAAAAGTTAACTGAAAATAAATCTATTGCTCTAAAAGCTGAAGAGCGAGATCTCATTGCCGTGACTAGCGTATTTTGGTCACTGGTAAGGGCTGGCTCTATTTTCCCAGTTGTCTGTGGTGTGAGCTTCTTGCCCGTCTCAGTGGGCACAGTCACTCACCTCTGACATGCCTCTTCTACCTCACCCAGCCCAGAATTAGATAAAGGGAATTTCTGCAAAGTTTACATTGAGAGAGATTCTGCTGAGGCCCAGGTAGCCTTCTAGGCTTCTTATTTAAAGACAGGATCTCACAGTGTTGTCCAGGCTGAAGAGCAGTGGCTATTCACAAATGCAATCATTGTATACTACTGCCTCGAACTCTTTGGCTCATACAGTCCTCCTGCCTTGGCTTTCCAAGTAGCTAGAACTACAGGTGCACACCACCACGCCCAGTCCATTCCAAGCTACTTATCTGTCCCTTTCACCTCTCCTTTGCTCTCCTCCACTACCCTTGCTCGTTACCAGTTCCTTCCCCTTGGCATCCACCATTCTTACTGAGGTCCTGCCCCTCTCTCTTGTTCCAGGCACTAAAACAGGTGCAGATATTAGTGATGGTACTTGTGAGCCTGGACTGGCTTCCCCAGCCTCCTACGTGAACCCCTTCCCAGTGCTCCATCTCGTCGAGGACTTGAGGCTGGCCCTGGAGATGCTGGAGCTTCCTCAGGAGAGAGCAGCCCTCCTGAGCCAGATCCCTGGCCCAACAGCTGCCTACATAAAGGAGTGGTTTGAGGAGAGCTTGGTGAGTAGGCCCACGGCCTGACTGCGGAACCAGCGGGGAACATGGTTACACAGCCCACAGAATGCCACCACTAACTGGGGCTGTTGACTCATCTGTAACCTTCCAGCCTTTTCTGCTTCCCAGCCAGCTTTGACCAACCCCTGCTGGGTGGTCCGTCTTAAGTTATACACCCTGTGTTCTTGTGGTCCACGGTCACTGTCTCCTGAGGAGAGGAAGCCCAGGGCCAGAGAAGGACAGGCATCAAAAATTTCACATACCACCTGCAACCCCAGGTGTGCTACTTATGGAGTATACTCCCTGGCTGGGGTCTGCAGCCTCGGCTTGATCTCACTACCCTTGTTTCTTGCCACTAACTAAAGCCTGGTGACATCATTCATTTCTATACTTCTGCCCCTACTTTTGGCCCTCAAACTACTTCCTGTCCCTAGAGTGGAATGCAGATTTGCTAACTCTTCTCCTGCTCTCTCGAGATCAGGCCCACAGACCTGACCCACTAGTCTCTAGGGGAAGCAGATACGTAAACAAAGCTACAGCTTCCCTGTGGAGGAAAACTTTAGGAGGCTAGTAATCTGTAGGAATGGCCCACTGGGGAGGTGATCTGGAATGTGACCATTCTAGGGCTAGAGACAGGACAGTGGAAAGCCAGAGGCAGTGTGTGATTACCTAAACTGAGTTTGAGGGTGTGAAGAATGGAATACAGTCTTCTAAAGCTAGAGTCCTGCAGAGCTGATTCAAAATTGAAAGTAGGCACAGATGTGGGAGGGCATGAACAGAAGCATTAAATTGGGAGAGAGGGCTTGATGTTGGAGACCAAAGAGCTTGGGATCCTCTTGTCCAAAGGCCAAGTCACCTTGTGATTAAATGGGCTGTTTCCCAGATGTCCTAGCTAACTGTTCAGGAAGCCTGTCAATACAGTCTGTCAATACAGTCTCATCCCCAGGCTGTCCTCTAAACACTGAACAATTCTTCATTATGTTCATTATATGTTTTGTTCAATATTTTCATTGCATAGGCTGTCTGCCTGGTGTGTGTAATATACTTATACCAGTGTGGTAGGCAGAATAATGCCTCCTCAAAGATGTCTATATACTAATCACATAACTGTCAATATGTTGCCTTACATAGCAAATGGCAGCAGATGAAATTTGCAAATCAGCTGCAGGTTGCAAATCCGCGACCATAAAGTAGGAAGAGTAGCCTGAATTATACAAGTGGGCCTAGTATAATCACAAGGGTCCTTATAAGAGCCTTCTCTACTGTTCTCTGAATGCTTGCATTAGACAACAGAGCCTTATTTCATTTGCTCCCTGTCAGCTCTGCTCAGGATCTTACTGTCATCACATAACCACGAGATCCACTAAAGTCTCTTCCCAAACAAAAGCACAATCTGCCTGTAGCACAGAAAATAGCTGGTTTTTATTCCTCCCTATACAGTTTATGATACCTATGGATGTTCCTCAGTCATCTTGTATAGATGTACCTCAGTTTATAAGACCATTTCTCTAATTTTTGACATTTAGATTATTTTTAATCTTTCTCTAATATATGGCATTGCCACAGTGAATATCTTTGTCCAGAAATATTTGTCCTTATCTCTAGATGTGTCCTAAAAGTAGAATTACTGAGTTCACATGTGGTTACCAGATAAAATATAGGATGCCCAGTTATATTTGATTTTAGATAAGCAGTGAATAATTTTTAATAAGTATACCCATGCAATTTAATAAATCTGACAGCTCTAATCCAAAGGTATTAATGTCTGTAAGCCTTTTGACACATTTTTCCAAATCACTTTTCAGAAAGATTTTACACATTTATAGGGAGGCAGGGTTTGAGGTGAGTCTATTGTACTGCATCCTGATCAACAGTAATCATTTAAGATTTAAAAAATAGCTTTAATTTCTTAGGAGAGAATATTTTCCTGTCATTTTTGCATTTTGCATTTCTTTCTTTAGTAGAAAGGCTAAAATTTGTTTATTAGCTTATTAGTATTCTGTGCATAGAAAAAGAATTCATCCCCTATATATACATATTCACATGTGCAATATTTTTCTTATATATTTAAGTTATAAAAAAAATACCCCCAAAATAGAAGATTTTAAAGGAGAGGTAAAAAAAAAAATTAGTTCTAATATTTTTTCCCCCACACACCCCAGCAGATTACCTTAAGCCCCTTGGGTGGGTGTAATCCCATCCCAGTCTATTCATATTCTGTGCCCTTCTTCTATTAGGATTTTAGTGCTGCTTTTCTTATCTATTTGAATGACCTTTTATTAGCCTTTGTTTTATTCGTAGCACCTATTTTCCTCACTTTGTTATTTAGTGATTATGGTGCTTTTTGAGGCATAGATTTTTAAAGATTGTAATTAACTCTGTCAGTCTTTCCTGTTTTGGTTTCTTGTTTTCCTTTTGGCTCTAGAAAGGCTTTTCCCAGTCTCAGATCAAGTAACTATTCACCTGTGTCCCCCTCCAGTAGGTGTATGGTTTGATTTTTATCTTAGAGTGTGGTATAAAAAATGGATTTAACTTTTAAAATAGTTTTTGGAATTTAAAAATATTTTTGATCCAAAGGCAGTTGATGTGGTTGTTGGTTTTTGTAAGATGCATTGCAGAAAACAGCTTGCATTCAGAGTTGCAGATCTGTTTGAGGGTTATTTTCAATGGTTTGGGGAATGCCTGCCTTTGGAGGGAAGATTCCCTAAAAGTTATTGCGTTCATAAATCTTTTAGAGTAATTATGGCCATCAGCAACCTATGAATGGTGTACTTTTAGGGGGTCAGAAGTTCATATAAACATTCCAGGATATGAGGGCTGGATGTTAAGGTTTTGATTCTGGACAGAGCTTATCTGCATTTAGGTCTCACAGACCCAAGGTCATTTTACAGTCTGTCTGTACACACATTCCACACTAGGTCTTAATCTGTATGGAAATAGAATTCAGAGCAGTGAACGAACTCACCGGGTGTCTTAGATTGGAACTTTTAGTTAGAAATTGCTACTCAGCTTTTGGTCAATGGCCCGGCAGCTTTGGTATCCCCTGGTAGCTTGTGAAAAATGTGGAATATGGGTCCCCCCACAACTGCTGATCCATATTCAGGTGACTTATATGCACATTAAAGTTTCAGAAACATTGCTTTAAACCATAGAGACTCACTTGAATTATTTGCTAAGAAGTCACATGTGGATTAGGCTTGAAATTGGAACTGGTGAGGCAGTTTGAAGGGTCAGGCAGGACGGACCAGTGCTTTCTCCCTCCTGATGTCTGCGCATCCCTTGCAGGTTTGCTCCGTCCTCTGCAGGCTCACTGGCTTTGGCGTATACCCCACGGTTACTGCTCTGTCATAACACTGGCCTGACATGGCCCAGCTCCGCCTCAGGACATCTCTATCAGTTGGGATACTTTCTCCAGAAAAGTGGTGTAAACAATAAGGTTTATATACTACTGACAGGATGTCGAGAGGATGGGCAGTCCCAGGGATAAATCAGTGGCTCTGGGTGACCTCAAGGGCTCTGGCTCTTGTCATCTTTCTGCCCCACCATCCTCGAGGGGTTGGTTTTTCCTCAGGCACGCCCCCGAACAGTTGCAAGATGGCGACTGGAGCTCTAGGCAGGGTCCACATACAGACACAACTGTACACCTGTGTCCAGAGGCGGGGAACAGTTTTAGTGTGTCCTTTCTTTTTTCTTTTAATCAGTTGAGAAAATCTTTCTCTGAAACCCTCCAGCAGACTTTCTATTTTGTCTCAACGGAAAGGATTTGTTTGCATGTGCACGCCCTAGCTGCAGTCAAGGCTGGGAAAGCAAGTATTGGCGCTTCCATTTGCCACAGTGGGAGGTGGCCTCTGGCAGAAAGGAAAGATGATGAAGGTGGGGGTGGGGGGAGGGAGAATGATCCTCAGGATGGCAGTCCGGTGTGACTGCCACAAACATCCATGAGGTTTGAATTTATTCTTCTCATTGACTGACAATTTTTTTTTCCATATTATGTCCTTGCTGTTTTTTGTTTGTTTTTAAAAAAACTCAAATTCCTAAAGGAAAGGTTCCTATTGGCTAGCTCGTGATTTTTGAGCTAAGTCCTCCAGACCCATGAAAAAATGTTAAGTGCAAAAGAAATAGGAATTGAAGACTTTTAATTTAAGCACAGCTATGGATTATCTTCTCTTGGGTCAGCTGTCCACCCGTGGCCAGAGGGGAAGGGATATGCGGTAGGAAATGTGGGCTTGTGCGGTTGCTGTTCGTTGGGGACTATGGACCTCCCGGCACTGTGGCATCTGTAGTCCACAAGAAAAGTGGGCTGCAGAAGAGGCAGTGGAGGATGTAGAGGCGCAGTTGGTCATTAGAATAGGACAAATAGCAGAGTAGTCTTGGGCCCTCCCTCATGTCTTAAATAGAGAGGGAGCTCCTGGTGCTAGAGCATCGCCGAAGGCAGCTGTGTTTCTTTAGAGTGGGGCTAGTTCCCCTTCTGCTGGGTCCTGCCAGGGCTGAGACACAGCTGGACCAGCATGGTCAGCAGCAATACGAGGGCCGTTGGCCAGGATTCTCTGCCTAGAGATGGGGATAAATTGGCCAGACTCATCCTAAAGACCAAATGGCACAGACCTGCTTCGGATTCGGTGGTGCTGGGTTGTGAGTGAGTTTCCAGGACTCTGGGGCCTGAACTGGTGTCCTGCCCCTTGGCAATCAGTACAAGGAGGAGAAGTGGGCTCCAGGCTCCAAAGGGCATGCGTGAGGCTTTCTGAGCTGGGGATACCCACTGGGGCCTCAGTATGGCAAGGAACAAACAGTCAGGATTCCCTTTGTCTAGGGGAAGTATCTATATCTGAATTCCCAGCCTAGCCCACAATACTCTGGGTGTGTCTTTCTTTCTTTCCTTTTTTTTTTTTTGGAGACAGAGTATTGCTGCATTGTCCCGGGTAGAGTACAGTGGCATCATCATAGCTCACAGCAACCTCAAACTCCTGGGCTCAAGTGGTCCTCCTGCCTTAGCCTCCCAAGTAGCTGGGACTGTAGGTGTGCACCACCACACCTGGCTAATTTTTCTATTTTTAGTAGACACGAGGACTTGATCTTGCTCAGGCTGGTCTCTAACTCCTGGCCTTAAGTAATCCTCCTGCCTTGGGGCCCAGACTGCTAGGTTTACAGGGTGAGCCATGTACCCAGCTTGGGCATGTCTTTGGAATGGGGGTATATGGAGTAGGAGTGGCTACCCAGCAGGAGCTCAGACTTTGCTTTGCAAGGTTGCAGGTATCCTGGTCAGTGTGCGTGGGCAGGGGGAGGCAAACTGAACCAGAGTGGGACAGTATGGGAGGTAGGATGAAGTTAAAATGCCAGGGCTCTACCTTGGCACTGCCACTCACTTTTATGTGACTTTGGATGAACCAATTCTTTGTCGGGACTCCGTTTCCCAACTGGAAATGACAGCTGGCATCTGCACATCTGGCCAAGCATCCAATCCTGCAGTTTGTCCTAAGGGCTATACTGAGTGGCCTCATTGTAAGCACTAGCCTTTGCCTCTCTCAGTCTAGGTTTCCAAGGTGGAGACAGGATACGAACTTATGTGCGGCTGCATTGGTTTCCAAAGTGGAGACAGGATATGAACTTATGTGCGGCTGCCCCTGTGTCAGAGCTCGACTGAGGCCAGCGAGGAGGCAAACCTGTTGACCATATTGAACGGCCAGAGGAGTTGTCCTCCTGAACCAGCAGCCTCTGCTGGGCCCGGCCGGGCTGGGAGCTAGGCCCCATCCCGGGTGTGTGCTCACCTCTGAGAGCCCAGCAGTCAGTAAAGGGGCCGTCAGTTACCTTTTTAACTAGTCTTTCTAGAAACAAAGAGAACCCAGACCCAGGCCGGGGACACAGCCACCCCCCTCTTCAGCTCCAAACTACCTTGTCACAGATGGTGGCTTCTTCAGCGCCCAGCTCCTCAAACAAAGCCAGTGCGTTCCTGCCAGATTCCACTTGCAATCTTTCCTTCTGGCCAAGCGGCAAATCTGTTTACCATATTGAAAAGCCAGAGGAGTTGCGAAAAAGGTGGGGAGAAAAGCTGTTTTATGAATTATAAAATGCGAATTTGAGTTTCTCTTGCCATGTGATTCATTTCTATAATATATCTCCCTTCTCCACGCAGGGCAGGGAACAAAAGACAGGGCTGGATATGTGCATGTTGAACATTTTAATTCTGAAAAGTTACAAATAGGAGTTTTGTGGGAAAACCTTTTCCTCTGGATCTGAAAAGAGAGAAGGGAAAATTGGCTTATTAAAAATAAAAAACCAAAAACGTAGAGCCTATGTGAGCGAGTTTACAGCACGTGTTGTGATAGGTGTGAACTTGGGTGCTGAGGAGGGAGTAGGTGTTAGGGTTTTCTTTCACAGGGATAGGGGTGGCATCAGCCGTGGTTCTTTGTCCCTCTGCAGTGCTGGAAGAAGCCACTAGGTGGGAGTCGGGGACAAATTCTGGGAAGCGTAAGGCCCAAGGAATAAGGTAGATTGTGGGCTTTATATGAGAAAATAGCTTTTTTTGTTGTTGTTTTTAGATTAGAAAGATGACGTAAGCACTTCCCATTAGTGAAGCTGCTAGACAGTGCACCTGGGTCAGCTGGCAAAGAGCTCTCTCCCATTTTCCTTGGAAACCAGTGGACAAAGGGCGGGGGCGGGCGGGAAGGGCTCCACTCTCTGGGGTTGGGGAGAAGAGACAGGGAGGGCTCTAACCCACATGGGCACACAGACTTGACCTTCCATTGTGGATGGTGAGAAAACCTCTCAAAACTCCTTGACTGCAGTGCCTCTCACTGGGGTGCTAGTGGGTGGCCCTCTCCCTCCCAGTAGGCATTTCCTGACCCGCAGGGTCTGCCAGGCTCTGCACCGCAGATCAGAGGCTTTCAGACCCTGCAAATTTAGCAGTTTTAGTTTTCCTGGAGTTTGATTTTCTCCCCCCTCAAATGTAAATTTACCCTACTAAATTCTAGTGATCTGGTTCCTTTTAGACCTGACCTAAAGAGACTATTTCAGCCCCTAAGCACCAATGTTTATAAATGACCAAGAATGTGCAAACACTGGTGAAAGAGCAAATAAATCCTTCCCCACTGAATTTCCTGCTGCAGGCCCAGGGACATGGTGGGTGATGTTGCCAGGTTAGCATAACTTGAGGTCTGAGCATGTAGACACCCACTTACCCTCCGCCCCCAAAGACCTGCCAGACCACACCACTGGGAGCCTTCTGCCCTTTCAGACACTCACTAGTGGGCAGGCTCCAGAGAATTCACGTTCCCAGGCCAACTTGCTCAGTCCCCTGTGCTTCAAGGAACTTCTGAAAGTGGTTTTCTAATCCCTTGCTACTCCAAATGTGGTCCTGGGACCAGGAATATAAGCATCACCTGGGGGCTTGTTGGCACTGCCGTGGCCTGCATTTGACCCACTGCCTATTTCTTATGCCCCATCAGCTAAGAATGATTTGTTAACATTTTTCAGTGATTGAGGGGAAAAAAAATCACAAGAGTATTTTATGATGTGAAATGATATAAAATTCAAATTTTGGTGTCCATAAGTAAAGTTCTACTGGAACACAGCTACACATTGGTGTAGGTGTTGGCTGTGGCCTCTTTCACATTACTAATAGCAGAGCTGAGTATGGCAGAGACTGCATGGCCCACCAAGCCTAAAATAGTTGCCATTTGGACCTTCACAGGAAAAGTCTGCTGACCCTTGCCCTAACCCACTTTGGTGGCGGGTTCTCCATGTTTGCGTGCCATAGGGACTTGGGCTGCAGTAGCCAGGAGAGTGCTTTGTGATCAGGACTTCCTCTCCTGGGCTCTTCCCTCCCCCCCTTCCCTCCCTTCTCATTGGCATTAGGCCCACTGTGGTGCAACACCTCTGTTAAAGGACATGGCTTGATTCTGACTTACAAGGTGGTGACCTGGCAGCTGCCGCCCAGAGGCCAAGGCTCAGGGCTGAGCAGAGCCCAGGATGTAGGCGATAGGTCAGCAGAACAGCACATGACCCACAGGACTCCTGCCAGTCCAGTTCTGCCCAGCGATAAGATGCTGCTGACTGCTGGAAGGCACCAGGATTCAGGGAACGCTCCCTCCCCCTTCAGCCATTCCCACAAGTACCTGGAATTCCAGCCAGGTAGGTGACAATCCCAGGGTTCTCTTATAGATACCCCAGGTTAGGGGCGGGGACAACCTACAGTGAGGTCCCCTATCCAAACCTGACCATCCGGGCCTCTTAGCTGTGTTTCTGCCCCTTATTTGTGTACCCTTTGTGGTTCCTGAGGCCTCCTGTCTTCAGAGATGGGTCCCTGAGACTCTGCCTCACAGGAGCAGTGCAATGGAAGCAGGAAGCCCAGGCTCCCACCCCCAATAATAAGGGCAGCCTAAGCCTTTGGGAACAACTGCTTAGGCCAGATGACACTCAGGCTTCTAACCTTTTGGGAGTCATAGGCCATTTTGATCATCTGAGAAAATTGTTTTAGAGAAATAGATATTTGTGCATACAAATAGCACTCTGTATATATTTTATGCACATATTCGGGGGCTTACCTGATTCCCTGAAGCCCTTCTGTGGACCACTATGAGGCCATGCTGGCCAGGGCAGCCTGGGGTGGTGCAGCCACAGGTTTGCTCCCAGGCAGGTGAGGGAGCCGGCACCTGCCTGCTGCCCCTGGGGGACTAGGAGTGAGGGGAGGCACCCTCAGCTTCCGAACCCCTGAAATCTTACACATCTCCCCCCCCTTTCCCTCCTGCCAGCTGCACAGAGATGCCTTGCTCCTAGATCTTTTTGGAGTTTTAATTTGTGGATTTTTGAGTTGAATTACAATATAAGTAAGATGTATTTGGGTGTTTAAAAAAAAAAGGCGGAGGTAAGAATTGCTACTTGAAGATACCATGAAAATATGTCAAGAATTTAGCTGCAGTTTGTCCAGATTCCTCCCTCCCTCCCTCCCTCTTCTCTTGTGCCTGTCTCTCTCCACCCTCTCCTCGCCCCACACAAACCCCTCCTTCTCCATCACAAGTGAGTTGAGCTAATAGATGTCTTTTCCTCTTTAACCCAGGGAGATAGTCCTTTAAGTCTCTCTTTTCTCCAGGTAGAATTTTAGTCGTCTTTTGCTGGTCTTACCATGTAAGCCTCATTTTTTCATCCAAAGAATGTTTAGGTTCCTGCTGTGTACCAAGAACTGTGCTAGACGTGTAAGTTGGAGAAGTGAGCCAGAAATCAGACGCACTCCCTGCAGTCTGGTGCAGAAAACAGATGTGTGGACAGTCAGCTGTGGTTCAGCACCATGGGGCAACTGGTGAAGCAGAGGGGTGGGTGCTCAGCAGGGGTGAAGGAGGGGTGCCTGGGCCAGGCTTCACGGCAGCCGGGAGTCAGGAAGGAGGGTGAGATACCGCTGTGGTGGCCACCCTGTCTCCTTTTTCTTCCTCTCTCATCCCAGAGCATAAAGAAGGGCATGAGCTCCCCCAAGGAGAGTGGGATCTCCTGTCCTGCAGGTGCTGGGACTCTGCCTGCCTCTCCCTGCCAGCCTCCAAATCGGCTCCCCTGCCTCTTCTTCCCTGAGGCCCAGATATACCTTTGCTACATACCATGTGGTAATTCTTTATTTACCCAGGGCAGGAAGGCGGTTTCATTTGCCTTGGGTGCTAGGCAAATGAGTATTTACTAAATGAATTTCTTCATTTGACTTTCCCAGGCTTTTAGACAGAAAAGAAAACAGCCTACCCACCCCTGCAAGCTTAGAGATGTTCTTCATTGCCACTTCCCGTGGCAGTCTGGGTGGGTCCCAGGCCGTGCTCTGGAGCTGGGCCGGAGGTGAGAAGGAAGGGGCTAGAGCTCCGAGAGTGGGCTCTGCTTTTCCTTTCTGGCCTCTGTATGGGTGTGTCTCTAGGAATTTACTCCTCCCTCATGCCAGCTGCTGGCCTGAGCCCTCCTCCCCGCCACCTCCCTGATGTCTATGGGCTGAGCCAGCCTGCCGGAAGGTGCTGCAGGCATTGTTTTGCCCCGTGTTTCAGGCCCTGCCCCTGGCTGTGGTGACTGGGTGCCCTGCCGAGGGGCATGCTGACATCCAGTAGAGCCTGCTCTACAGGCTGGGAGTTCCAGGAAATCCCCCAGGGGACCCCCAAGAGCACCAGGAAGGCCCAGCCACTGCGAGATGGGCGTCTGTGAGTCCTTACCACAGCAGAGCTCAGGGCCCTTGCGTGTAACCACAGCTCCCGCCGCGCCCACATCAAAGGTCACTTTCATGATCAGTCATAGCCAAAGGCCGTACATTAAGGGCTGGGTCAGGAAGAAAAGCTGCTTTTAAAATGGGAGTAAGAGGAGGAGATGGGGGTGGCATCTGGGGAGTGCTGGAGGGGCCACCCTGGAAAGCCAGCATGTGACCCGCCCTGTCAGTAAGAGAACAGACACAGCTCCCTGTCTAGCCAGCTCTCCAAGGCTCCTGCCTACCCAGGGCTGCTCCCTAAGTGTCATGGAAATGCACAGGACCGGCCTCACCCTTTCCACCTCCTTGGTTTGTAAAGCAGGTAGTCCAAAGCCCAGAGCCGGGGCAGGCAGCCAGGGAGGCAGCACCCTCCCCCAGCCCCGGGGACAGAATGTGGCCCCAGGGAGCTTGGAGTGGGGACTGACCTCAGCCCAGGGCCAGACTCCCCTGAGGCTGCAGCAGTTGGTCTCTGGCCATAGTGACACGGGTGCCAAGGACAGCAAACACCCCGCACGGAGCCCCGCACACAGCAGGGCCGAGGACTCAGACTGGAGCTGGTTCTGAATCTGTTCTTTTTTGGAAACAACAAGCTTTCCTCAGGGCACAGCCTGTCGCTCCTCTGGAAAAGGGGTAGGCGTGGGCTTCGGGGCGGGGGTCAGGCTGTGTGTGGGAACCGGCAAGCTCCTCCAAGAGCGGCACTTATTTTTAGTCTTCTCCCCAGTCCCAAATAAACTGAGAGCAGCTGGGAGCCCTGGGTAAATGCAGAGTGAAGCAGAGACAGGAAATCGGGGCTCTCAGTAATGAGTTCCAGCCACACCAGAAGGGGGAAGCCAGACAAGGAATTTTCTTCAGGACTGTTTCCCTCTGGCGGGCTCTGGTATTATCCCTGAGAAGAACGTTCCTGTGTGTGTGCACGCGTGTGTGTTGTGCTTACAGCTCCTGTCCAAGTCTCTCTTCCACCTACCTTTCTGCTAGGTTTGAGTGCTCAGCAGGGCTCTGCGTCCCAGTCCGGGGTGTGTGCGGGGCTGTGTGGCTGTGGGGGCGGTGGGGGAGGACCCAGGCGCGGCACAGTCTGGTCTGAGTCCTTGTGTATCTGAAACTGTCTAGGGAAAGGCTGAAGGACAAGGACGCAGGCCAGGGAAGTGGGGAAACTTGAACACAGCCTGGAGTTCCCGAGGGGGGAGGGGGCAGAGGCAAGGAAGAGGAGAGAACTTGGTCTCCAGCCAGAAAAAGGGCTTTTTCCACCGAGGAATCTAACTGCTGACATGGGTGCCCAGCATGGATGGGGACATTGATGTTTACAAGCATTTCTCGTGGCTGAAGAGGGTAAGTGGCTGGCTGCTTTGTCTGGGTCTCCATGGAGATGAGTGGAGGGGAGACACTTTGGGGTGTTTGCGGGGGAGTGTGTTAGGGGGAGTATTGTCCGGCAGAGCCCTGTTGCGGCCAAGTTCTACATGAGAATCTAATTATAGACACCAAGGGAGAAAACAGTCAGCTGTCTTTGTTTCTCCGCTGACATTCTGGTGAATGAGCCTCTGTACAGAAAGGCAAGAATGGAGTGAGGAAAGTTGGTTATTTTAACTTTGGTACTTAAACAGTCAGAGGCTGCAAACACCGTGACCAAAAAAAAAATGTGTCCATCGGTATGAGGACACAGAGAGGAAGCTGCTGCCTTTTTAAATGCACTGAATTCGGAAGTAGTTTAACTCATTCTCGGCTGTAATGTTAGCCGGTGTGAAGGGTACATCTGCTGCCAGCCAAGTGAGCTGCTGGGTTTCCGGAGGATGGCTCTGGGCATTCTCCTCTGAATGCTTTGAGGCTGAGGGTTTGGGTTGCAAGTTGTTCGTGCCATTTCTGTAGGGGATGAGTGTGAGCAAGGGATGAATGAATGTTGGGGGCTGGAGTGGCATCGTACTCATATACTCGCAGAACTCCGACTGTCTCCTCTTTTGTGGCTGCCTTTAAATTGGCTAAGATAGGTATGCATTTATTTTCACACTGAGGAATTATATGCTGAGTGTTTCTTAGAGACAGGAAGGACAAAAGCAGCTGACAGATAAGAGATTTGACATTGTAACTGCAAAAGTACAGGAGGGCCAAGAAGCGTCCAGCTTGGAAGGAGCATGCAGGTCCGAGGACCCCAACTCCCAGACGCTGGCTGGCAGGCCTTTGTGTGTGCCCTCTGCAGCGCTTGCTCCTTCAGCAGCTATTTGCTGAGTTTTGGGTACAGGGTGTACAGTGTACAGTGAGCAAAGTAGAACTAGCATCTTGTGGACCTTCCACCTGATGCTGGAGATGGAGGTTATACGGTGGCCAGAAATAAACCTCAGAGTGCAAACTGCTAAGTGCAGCAAGAAGGAACAACAGACGGCACAGGACGGCTACTGTGATTGAGGAGGAGGGGTCAGGGAGCCTTCTGTGAGGAATTACACTTCACTGAAACCCGAAAGTGCAGTAGGAGTGAGTTAGGTGAAAAACAGGGTGAAGAACATTCCGGGCAAAGGGGATGGTAATGTGCAATGGTTTGAAAGCAAGAGGAAGTCTAGGCAAGTGGCAAGGCAGAGAAAGGCAGTGTGGCCAAGCCCTGTGGTGGGGGACAGGGCAGGCAGGTGCCAGACCACACTGGAGAAGGGTTGTGGGTGACGTGATCTGTATGCTGGGGGACTTGCAGCAGGGGAGTGGCACGGGATATACTGGGGGTCCGCTTTGTATTTTAAGAAAATTACTCTAGCTGTGATGTGGTCTCTGGTATGCAGTGTTGGGAAAAGTGAGGCAGCTGAACACAATTATAGAGCAGGAGGGCTTGGAGGGATCAGCCAGTACAAGCCCCTCATTTAGCAAAGCCCAAGAGAGGCTAAGAGCCTCCCGGTTACTAGTGTCATAGCTATTTGTGGTGCAGCCTGGTCGTGAACCCTGTTCTCTATCTCCCAGTCTAGTCCTCTTTCCTTATCTCCCTGCCAAATATGTAGAAAATTACTGGTTTAGAACCCAGCAGAAATCCTGTCTGTGCTCGGCCCCTGGGGTATCACAGCCACCAGAGAGCCTGCTGAGATGACCAGACATTTTGGCAAAGGTTTGAGTCATCTTAAGTAAAAAGCCTCAGTGGGGAGATGCTGCAGGGAAACAGGTAAGAAGTGCAGTGCCCATCACTTAGTCTTTATTTCCTCCATATCCAAAATGAAGCTCTTAACTAAGAGGTCCTCCCAGCCAACATGTGCTCGGAATTACTGGAGCCATGTCCCAGCCCCTGGGGCCGATGTTGTAACTCTGCACCTTGTGCAAGAGACGCTCTGTGTGTGGAAGAGCTAATTCTGCACACTATGCAAGGTAAGGAGGCCCCTTCTGTCCTGAGACCCAAGGCTGTGAGCTCTGGCCACTGGTTAAAGTTAGACGTTTGCTGAGAGAAGCTCTAAGCAGGGAAACTTCAGAATCTCCCAGGATGAGTCACAGCTAAACAGATATTTTTCTTCTACTTTTTAAAGAACATTAAAAAAAAGAAAGCAAAACATGAAGTGCTGGGCATGTTGTAGATAATGTGATCAGAGTATTTTCCCTATTTCTTTACCCTAAACAGTACTGCCAGAGTGTTTTAATCTCCTTGAAAAAAATCCCTTTCATCCTATGACCCTGATCATGAGTCCTAATCTTTTATGTCTACCTGATGAGCTCCTGAACATACTCCCTCCCTTTTCAGAGCTTTTCCCCCAGATGTGCTCTTTCTCATTCCCACCTACTTCGTCTGATTCCATCAAGCCTCCCCCTGTCCCCCCTCCACCGCCAAAATCCTTTGCTGACCCCAGCCCAGGTCTCTCAGTACTTCTCATCTGCACAGCTCACCCACCCCTTCTCACGTGCTAAGCTGAGCTAGCTTTGGAGAGCAGGTTTCTCTGAACCCGTGTTTTTGAAGGTGGAAACTCTGTCTCCTTCATTCTCCCATACAAGGGGTGGAGGGGGGTGGATTCTAGAAGAAGATGTGCCTGGATGAGAGGTGACCATGGCGCACAGGGTAGGAGCCCTCGTCCTTTGTACCAGTCCAAGAGGGTAATGCCTCAGGGTGAAGGGGAGACACCTGTATTCAGGGAGGCCCAGAGCTGGGTGAGAAATGTTTGCTCAGAAGAGAAACATTGCTCTGGGGCCTTTGATGGATGGGATAGTGTGTACTGTTAAGAACATGAAGTTTGGAGTGAGGCCTGGATTAAAATCCTGGCTTTACCATGTTTACTAGTTACGTGATCCTTGGTAGGTTATCTCAAAAACTTGGATTTCTCCATCCATAAAATAAGGAAGATAATAGTACCTATCACATACAGATTTTACTTGAGGATTAAGTAAGAAAGTACATATAAGATGGTTAGCATAGTACCATGCATGTAAGTCAATGTTTGATAACATGTTTGCTGTTAACTGCTATTGGCTATTACCAGGAAGGGGAAAATTGAAAGAGGAACATGCAGCATTGGGTTCTCTCTGAGCAGTGCAGCTCTGCCCATTCAGTCCTTCAGCTCTAGTCCCCTTCCTGCATTCCCGACTGAGGTCTCAAACTGCGCATGCTAAAGGCCTAGAAGAGGCAGCTGCAACCTGGCCTGCCATAGGTAACCAGAGGCCCCATTGGCTGTTGGCTTCAGCCAGCTTGGCTGTGGTTGCTGAGTAAAGGCTGCCCAAGGAGCTAATGCTCTGGTTCCTTCTAACATGAAGCAGGGACAAGGCAGTCTCCTGCCACAAGTATCTAGAGGGACCCTGGCCAGGGGTGGGGAAACCACGGCCTTCTAATTTCAAGATTGTTCTTTTTAAAGTACCAAACGAGGCAAGAAAAGCTTCATCTTTCTCTGCTGCAACCCTTTTAATAAAAGCATCTGTTCTGTAAAATTTGGATTCAGTCAAAAGGCTGCATTTAAGGACCTAGAAGTTCACGTGTTGGTTCCTGGCTCACAAACAGCTCACACCTGTCCTGCATTGAGATCAGTGGATCCAACCCACACAACCATGAAAGACCTCTAAAAATAGTTCTGAGCAGGCTCTGAGGGACCTACCCACTTCCCGCCACGCAGGACTTCATTTTCCCAGGAACAGTAATCCCAGCACTATCAGCATCTTCACACCACTCCCTGGCTTCCAGCACTCTCGGTGTTTAAGCCAAATTCCAACCCAAAGTCACAAAGAAAATGGAATCACCATGGACCTCCCATGCAGTTGGCTTGTGTTCTGCAGTAGAATGTGGAATGAACTCAAGCTGCTAATGTGAGACTTTATTCTATGTCATCTGGTGCTCAAATGGGTGATCTAGTAGCCTGGCCACTTGGGCCAGAAGAGCAGCAAATACACACAGGCGTCCTAACTCCAGGCACTGACTTGCCTTGCTTTCATCTTGGGCTGCGTCGAAAGTTGGAGAAGTAGGCAGCAGCTTCTGTGAATGCTGCTTCTATAGGTTAAGAGCATGAATCCTGGATCTAGACTCCTTGGGTTCATATCTCATCTCTGTGTAACCTTGGATAATTTATTTAACCTTCCTGGGATTCAGTTGACTGTAAAATATAGATAAATAATATATGTAAAGTACTTAGAAAGCACTTCATAAGTGTTGGTTATGGGGATGATGACATCAATCACAAATGACAACTTCTGGTCACTCCAGAGCCATGCACCCAACCTTGAGTCCGAGCAGAGAGGTTTTTCAAGCCCACTGGAAAGGCAACAATGTGGTTGCTCAAGGGTGCTGGCTGTCCGCAATTTCCTGTAGGTACCTCTAGCCAACCCACCCAGCGTGCCTGCCCATCATGTTCCCCAGCATCATTTAGAAGCTAAAATTATGCCATCTCTGACCCCTACCACCGGTGATCCTGTCTATCAGTTCCTTGAAGAGAGGCTCTCGTGCCTCTTTTACATAGTGGGATTTAATAAAGTGGCATCGTACCAGGGTTGCTTGCTGAATAGATTGTGAGTACTCTAAAGCAGAACAGTAGCTGTGGATCCTTCGACTCACCACTGCATTCCTTCTTCTCCCATCCTTTCACACTTTTCCATTTGTGTCCAACCTTACAACACTCCCCTCTCAACCGATGTCACTATCTACTTCACTGATAAAAAGAAAAACAGCCAAACCTAGAAGTATCTCTCATCTTCTCTCCCCTGCACCACAAAGTGTAACTGTTTACAGATGTCATTTTTCAACTTCCTTGTGTTTCCCTGACCAGCAGTCCCTTCTCCCCGCCAAGGCTATCACAGTATCCTGTCCTCTTGACCCGATCCTGTCCCAGCTCCTCTTGTTCCTCTGATTGTTACTTCCCTCAGCTCCTCCCTACCCACCTGTCCTTTGCCTTTGGTGGAAAATGCTTCTCCTCAGTACTTAGGGAAAAAAGTAAATCAAAGCTATTGTTGACCCTGCCCTTGCCTCTTCGTGCTGCCTTACAACTTACCTTCCTTTCACTATTAGGATTCTTGTAAGAGCAGGCTAACAACTTACTATCTCTGCTTCTTCTGATCACTCCCAGATCCACTAGGCACTGGCTTTGTTCCTGTGGTCAGCTTTAAAATTCCTATAATATTATTCTTGCTGCCTCTAGTGCCCAAGCAACCTTTCTTATCCATTTTCCCCTGAATTCATTCCCATTTATGAATCTTGTAGAGTTAATAGTAATCTTGTGACCAAGGGAGCAGCTCACTTTAGCCCTCATCTAATTCTGTATTCTCCAGCTATGGCTCTTTCACGCTTGTTTGTCAACTCCTCATACAGAAGGTAGGCAGTCCAAGCGGCACCAGGCAGTTAGCTCTGATGCCTCCAGGCGAGCTAAAACAGCCACAGCGCCCACCCCACCCCAGCTCCGCACCCAATGTTGCCGCTCTGCTTCTGAAGGTGTTCTCGGTAATAATGAGTCAGTGCGTCTATTGGAGTTGGCAAGATGAGGAAAGTCTTCAAAGAGTCTGCTCTTTTAACTCTCCTTCTGACTTTAATATCATCCCTTCCCAGGATACCAGCACACTTGCAAGTGCTACTCCTACAGCCCAGTGCCAAAAGCTCCTTATGTGTCCAGCCACCTGATTGATGGAGAATTTAGCAGTGACCAAGTTTAGCCAAGGCTATGATTTTGGGAAAAGATCTTGGTAAATGAAATGCATTTCTGTCTGAATCTAGCTCCTCAGAAAGACCAGTTAGGAGTTTCACACTAACTCCTTGGTTGGAAAGCTTATGGACAGTCTATATTCAAGGTATCTTTTGTTTGCTGTGTTAGTTCTGGAAGGCCAGAATGGCTGAAGGATGGCCATTGTCATGGCTTCATGAATAGCATATCTGTATTGGGAAGACCATTTCCAAAGGTGCTGTTCTCCATTCTCCTAGGGGCATTCCGTTAGCCTTCAGACTCAATCATCAAATGGTACCCCTCCTATAAAGCCTTTTCCCTCTTTTTTTTTTTTTTTTATTTTTTATTTTATTTTTTTTTCTTTCTCACTTGCAGACACAGAACTTTTCCCTCTTTTGAAGGTAAAATTTATTCATCCTTCCCTTTGCCCCTGGTGTTGTTGTACTTACTACATCCTGCTGTAAAGGTTGATTGTTTGTTTTTTTTTCTGTCCTCCTTCCTTGTACAACTACATAGCTTTTTGACAGCAAGTACCGAATCATTGCTTAAAACAGAGTGACACTTAATAGGTACTCAGGAATATACAAGTCATTGAATAAGCACATGAATGGAGTGTGATGACAGGAACATGGATCAACCAAGAAGCTATTTAATTATTACTTATGAACTCTGCTTTGGTCTTCCTTATAGGTGAATGTTTAGATCATTGGATGATAACCCCACCAGCAACTCCTAGCCTCCCCTTATATATAATTGAAACCAAGAGGAGGTGGGCATAAGGATCAAAGTCAGGATAGAAAATCTCTCATTGGAATCCTGGTGCAGCTAAGAACCTGATTGAGCTCTATTCACACTGCATTTGGGAGAAACTTCTTGAACTCTATGCCGAAGATGGTAGATTGGCTTGACTGTTCTTTGCCTAGAAAAAGTAGAACTGGTCCTGGAAACAGTTGGGTTTATAACAACTGCCAGAAAGCCCCAAAATTCCTTAACCAAAACAATCTAGAGGAAGTTTACCTATTTATAAGCATCTTTCTACACTCACACTGCTTGCTTCCCTTGGTGATGTGTAACCTGAGTCATGTAAGAGGAATTGACTGTAGCTTCTGTGAGCCACATATTTTTATTTACTTTGGACCCCTTATTTTTAAGGTCTATATAATGTTCAAGTTTTCAAAAGGCTTGCATGTGAGTGGTGTTTTTAAGCTTGCAATACAGCCTTAGTGATTTTGGCATCTCACCTGAAGCCCTGTGCCTGGCAGCCGAGGCCACTTGCTATGCGTTTTCTGGATTTTGATAAGATCCTCTTGACCAGGCAGCCTGGAAAAACTACATGTTTTGTTTTGTTTTCTTATTAAGCTAAAAACACATGTTATCTCAGTGGCTAAAGAATGAAGAACCATTCTAAGACTTATCCAGAGCCAAGGCTTACCCAGTGTATTGTGTTCAAAATCTCAGCATACTTACAGGCAAAGAGCCATCATATAATTTAACATGCTCTGACCAGGTGGAACAATGTATATACTGTGGCCAGGATCCTGAAGGAAATATAATTTATAGCTTATTAGAAGCACTGGATGGGAAATTGACTCTACCTGGCCAGACAACAAACCTTGATATCTAAAAGGGAAGGCAAATGTGTTCCGAGGACCCCTAGCAGGAGCTCTTAGAAGCAACTGTTGGCTCTGAAAACCAGCATGATGGCTAGACTTGCCATACTGGGGAGCTGTCTTAGGATTTTCCCACACCCCTTACTTGCATACCAAATGACACTCCCCTTGTGACCTCCCTTGCCCCATTTGACTGCTCTGGAACCAACTCTGTCCCCACATTCAGTGACGTGTAGTGCCAGCAGGAGGTCAGTTGGGGAATGCTACAGAACTGCCCTCACCCAGGATCTCTGAGTGTGCCAGAATATGTGTGAAGGGGTGCACTCCTGGCAGATGCCAGCCAGGCTGCAAAGTCATGCTCACAAGGAATCTGCAGACACCAGCCGTGGCATCAAGCTCCCATCTGGAACTCACCTCCCATCTGGAACTCTGGAGAGCCTGGCATGTCTATCCCTGGGCCAAACTGCAATGGAGGGGCCAGGCTAGGAGTGAGCAAGCCCCATGGGTCTGACCAGCCACCGCTGGCAGAGAGTGATGTCTTTAGGAGGCTGCTGAGGGTTGATTTGGCTGGTAAAGCTCATGCTTAACCTAAACTTGACCTAACTTCTAGATTGGAGCAGAAATAAAAATTCAAGTATTTATGATTAGTCATTACTAGCTATTGAAACTCATTATAAATGTGTATGTAGCACATGGTACTTATAGTACTTAGTAAAGTGCTTGTAAAGAGGAAAAATTGTGGCCATAAAGATATGACTCAAAATGTGAGCACCTTTTAAGGGATGATGGAAAAGTGAACACACCTTTCGCCATGTGGATCAAAGGCATGGTCCCAGGGCTATTAGTGACAGTGGGTTCTGTGTTGTCACGTAACCCTTTTCTCCCTTTCCAGCCTGAAAGTATTTTGGTTATTGCTCCCTTGGTTGTTTGTACAGATTTTTGTAGATATTTCTTAGGTGTCCTCATCAGAAATGTTGCCTCTCTTGGACAAAAGGAGTGAGATAATTAAAACTTTCAGTAGAAAGGATGAGCTGTTTCTAACTGAACTTTAGTCTTTTAGTTTAAAAAAAAGCCATTTAAATGATTTCCATATTCCTGTGATCATTCAAACGGTGTTTATATTACACAGAGTATCCTGTTATAAAGAGCATCCTGGACTTTTATTCCCACATGTTTTAAGGTATATTGACCTGCCTGACCGTCTCTGTTGCTCTGCGAGGTGTAATTTTTCCTGTTGAAAGGATGGGAAGCCTAAGACGAAGTGATCTGCCTGAGATCACGTGTGGTTAGCCGTAGTGCTGGCCTCCTGCTCGGCCCTGGTTGGTTCTCTTTCTGCAGAGAAGGCTGTGCCCTGGGGGGAAGATGCTATAGGAATTCTGTCAATGAACATGGAAGCCCAGCAAAGTCCCCAGGGGTTCCTGCCTTGAAGTCGACCTGGGCAAAGGGTAGAGAGCAGAGAACCTGGAGCTCTCAGCCTTCCAGCTCGCAGACCTGGCATCGGTACAGCTGTGTGTGATGTGTGATTCTTCCAGCTTCTTGAACAGTTGTTAGATATAGTTATGTTCTTATTTACCTTTCCTTTATTCATTTTCTTTGCACCCTTATATCTTTTATTTTTTTTATCTTTTTTTCCTAAATTTTTTTTCACCTTTATATCTTTTAGACTTTAGCTTCTATTTATTTTTTGTTTTGTTTGAACTTAGTTTTTCTTTTGAGGCAGAGTCTCACTCTATTGCCCGGGCTGTTAAGAGTATATTGGTGTCATTGTAGCTTACTTTAACATCAAATTCCTGGGCTTAAGTGATCATCTTGCCTCAGCCTCCTGCGTAGCTGGGACTACAGGTGTGCAACATGAGGCCTGGCTAATTTTTCTACTTTTAGTAGAAACAGGGTCTCGCTCCTGCTCAGGCTGGTCTCGAACTCCTTAGCTCAAGCAATCCTCCTGCCTTGGCCTTCAAGAGTGTTCAGATTACAGGCGTGAGCCACCGTGTCTAACAAACTTATTTTTCCTTATCCCACATCCTGCAACCCCCACCGTCCCAGCCCCCAGTTGATGCCTGTTGCATCTTGTGTTCGTTCCCTGTCTTAGCCTTCTTGCTCCACATGGGAAATAAGAATGGAGGCAAACAGGTGATGGATGGAAAGCCATCCATTCCACATACAAACACTGGGTGCCTTTTGATCCTGGCGCATCCCACACAGACTCACCATGTGTCACAAAGCAGATTTCCCAATAGCCCTTACTGATAATCCTGGTTTTAACTATAGTTGGCTTAGAACTGACAACCCTAACTTAAAAATTGCCAGTTTAAGCAAATCAAGCAATGGTAGGCAGAATTCCTTTGTAATTCAGTGCTATATCCAAATAGCAGGAATTCTTTCCTATAAGTCTGTTTCCAAAGGAGTAAATTTCAGTCAGTTGATCACCCTATGAGACAAATACATTAGCCAGGACTTTTGGTTGCAAATAACAGAAACTCAATTTAAACTAGGCCAAGAGGGGACCAAGAGAGAGAGCCTGGATATATCTCCGTCTTTAGACAGCATGAACCAGGGATGAGAATGCCACCAGTCTCTTTCTTGTCTTTGGTTTGCTTTTCTGTGCACGTTAGCTTCATAGCTCACTCCTGCTGCAAACCAGCTTTTTCCACGTGGAGGGGAACATGGTCACTGACCACTTCAGGACCTTCTAGCACCACCACCACCATACTCTGTTCCCAAGTCTAAAAATTTAGAGGAAGGATCAGTAAGCCAACGTTGGAGTGGGTGGCTGGGAGATGGGGATATCTCTAGGAAGATGGCAGCTTTCGCCTGTGCCGCATGGTTACGGTAAGGCTGATGATCCCAGCCTTCTCTGGATGGACTGACAATAGCTTCCATTAAAGCAGGGTTCTGAAGAATTGTCTGCCAAAATTCATACGTGTCTTCTCTCTTCCTTTCCTTTAGCCAGAGAACAAGGAGGAAATTGACTAAGCTGGGCTTTCTCCACAATTTGTGATAATGTTTCTTTTTTAGGCCTTAAATATCCCCTGGTAATCTCATCCCTAATTAAAATGCAGTGCTCCCAGGAACTCGAGTTGGAAGAGGCGAGTCCGGTCTCAAAATGGAGGTAAAACCGCCCTCCGGTCGCCCCCAGCCCGACTCCGGCCGTCGCCGCCGGGGGGGAGGAGGGCCATGATCCAAAGGAACCAGAGCAGTTGAGAAAACTGTTTATTGGTGGTCTGAGCTTTGAAACTACAGATGATAGCTTAAGAGAACATTTTGAGAAATGGGGCACACTCACAGATTGTGTGGTAATGAGAGACCCCCAAACAAAACGTTCTAGGGGCTTTGGTTTTGTGACTATCTTGTGTTGAAGAGGTGAGGCAGCAATGTGTGCTCGACCACACAAGGTTGATGGGCGTGTTGTGGAACCAAAGAGAGCTGTTTCTAGAGAGGATTCTGTAAAGCCTGGTGCCCATCTAACAGTGAAGAAAATTTTTGTTGGTGGTATTAAAGAAGATACAGAAGAATATAATTTGAGAGATACTTTTGAAAAGTATGGAAAAGATTGAAACCATAGAAGTTATGGAAGACAGGCAGAGTGGAAAAAAGAGAGATTTGCTTTTGTAACTTTCGATGATCATGATACGTTGATAAAATTGTTGTTCAGCAATACCACACTATTGATGGCCATAATTGTGAAGTGAAAAAGGCCCTTTCAAAACAAGAGATGCAGTCTGCTGGATCGCAAAGAGGTCGGGGAGGTGATCTGGCACTTTATGGTCGTGGAGGAAACTTTGGAGGTGGTGGAGGTAATTTTGGCCGTGGAAACTTTGGTGGAAGAGGAGGCTATGGTGGTGGAGTGGTGGCAGCAGAGGTAGTTATGGAGAGGTGAGTGGATACAATGGATTTGGAGGTGATGGTGGCAACTATGGCGGTGTCCTGTTATAGTAGCTAGAGGGGGCTATGGTGGTGGACGCGGATATGGAAAACCAGGTGGTGGATATGGCGGTGTGGAGGAGGATATGATGGTTACAATGAAGGAGAAATTTTGAGGTGTAACTATTGGGGTGGCTACATAATGATTTTGGAAAATTATAGTGACAACAGCAATCAATTATGGACCCATGAAAGGGGGGCATTTGGTGAAGAAGCTCGGGCAGTCCATATGGTGGTTATGGATCGGTGGTGGAAGTGTGGATATGTGCAGCAGAAGGTTCTAAAAACACAGAAAAGGGCCTAAGTTCTTAGCAGTAGAGAAGCGAAGGATGTCCAGGAAAGCTGCAGGTTACTTTGAGACAGTCGTCCCAAATGCATTAGAGGAACTGTAAAAATCTGCCACAGAAGGAACGATGATCCATAGTCAGAAAAGTTACTGCAGCTTAAACAGGAAACCCTTCTTGTTCAGGACTGTCATAACCACAGTTTGCAAAAAGTGCAGCTATTGATTAATGCAATGTAGTGTCAATTAGATGTACATTCCTGAGGTCTTTTATCTGTTGTAGCTTTGTCTTTTTCTTTTTCTTTTCATTACATCAGGTATATTGCCCTGTAAATTGTGGTAGTGGTACCAGGAATAAAAAATTAAGGAATTTTTAACTTTTCAAAAAAAAAAAAAAAATGCAGTGCTCCCTAAAATGTGGAAACCTTTAATTCTGGAGTCTGCCAGTATCTAGGTCTCTGTACATGAAGAACTTAGTAAACTTGCTTACTGACCAAGGGGAGTGATGGGAGAGGTGGGAACAGGACTTGGTTTAGATTAGGCTAGCATCCTTGTATAGCCCTTTCTGTAGAGACTATCCCTTCTGGGATCTTGCTGGTCCCAGTCCTATCCCTCCTGGCTACATGGCCGTCTTTTTTCTGTATTCTCACTGCCTAGGCTGATTTAGCTGTCATGATCACCCCCGAGATCCCCAACCACAGAATATCCTGCCCAGATGCTACATCTCCCTGAGCCTCTCACTTGGGGATGGCTTAGAAAATAGCCCCACCTTAGGTTGTTGATTGCTTGAGCTGTGTATTAGGCCTGCCCAGCCCCAGCAGCAGTAGCATGTTGGGTCTTACAGAAATAGACTCATAAGACAACCTATGAGAGTCATGGAGCTATGTTGTCACTGATCCTGAGGGCACTCTGGAGTATCCCTCACAAAGCCTAGGGAAGACCTCGATGTGACGATTCTAGGCTGTGTTTTATATGCCTCCAAGAGATCTGGGTTTTAGAGGATGGATTCCTTATATCCAAGACTTTGCCAAGCCTCTTGAGAACAAAGCTGTGATAAAAGCAAAAGTGGTTTGACTTCAGTAATCTTCCCTAAAGTTTATGAGTCCTTGACAATATACATTCAAGACGAACTCCTTGTCCTGCTTCAGTTCTGTGATACAAGAGATATACTATGTTTTACTGTGGCATTCTTCAATCAAAATGGGAGAGGATGTGGAAATGTCAGGCAATAGTCAGCATTTCACCTCCATAGGATACACAGATCATGTGGCCCTCACAATATTTTTAGGTAACATGAATTTTTTTTTAATTTTATTTATTTATTTATTAGAAGTAGGGTCTTACTCTGTCACCCAGGCTGGAGTGCAGTGGCAGGATTCATAGCTCACTGCAGCCTCATACTCTTGGGCTCAAGTGATCTTCCTGGCTCAGCCTCCCAAGTAACAGATGCTTATCACCATACTCAGCTACTTTTTTATTTTTTGTGGAGATAAAGTCTTGCTATGTTGCCCAGACTGGTCTTGAACTCCAGGCCTCAAGAAATCCTCCCTCCTTGGCCTCCCAAAGTGCTGAGGTTACAGGTGTGAGCCACCACACCTGGCCAGAATTTTAGTATCGTGAACAGCTCTGACCATGGGAAGCTTGGATGAGAAGATTAATTTTCCCTCTATCACATTTATAGCAATAATTATCAAAATAAAAGAGAAAATTTGATCAAATACATGTAACACAGCTTAGTATATTAGTAGTCCATTGGACAGGTCTGGCCTAGGGGCTAATGTCACTGGTTGAGGAAACATTAGCCCTTTCTCATATTCATCTGTGGAGAGTAGAACAGGGGTGGTACTCTCCTTTATGTTCACCTGTCATCCCATAGTAGAGAGAAATCAAAAGTTAGCATGTAGCATCCTGTAGAATTCTGTTTAAGTTCTCAGTGGAATGTGGCCATGATTCTTTAACCTGATTTCATGCATGGAGAGCTGGGTAAGTGCTCCATCACTTCACCTACTTGAGAATATGGACAAGACCTTTCAGAGATGTCCCCAACCTGGAATCACGCAGGGACCCAGATGTATGACCTGAGTATTGATCCAAGCCTTCTATTTGCAATTCCACTGTTAGAATTAAAGAAGCAGGTGTTAACTATCTGACACAGCAAGCTCTTTTTAAAGTAGAGCAAAATAGAGGTGTGTCCTAGCACTGTCTTTTAAAACATGTTTCTCAATACATTGGAATCATATCTGATAACCATGTGGCTTTTTATGCCCTGATGATGCAGCCACTTTATTCATATAATGTAAGAGTAACAGCTGAAAGTGATTGAACCTATTGCCGAATTACTGGAATAAAGAACATACCTCTTCACTCAAATTCAAGTGCTTACCTTTGGCTGATGAATATTGGCATTCAACAAGATAATCCTTTTCTTGGCTCTGTTCTTGGGTGCTTTCCAGGTTCTTCTCCACATGGAGGTGGCATTTGACCCTGGCCTGTGCCCCTCTGAGGAGCTGTGGTTTTCTTCACATGCCAGTCTTGTCTAGATCCTGAAAACACACAGCTCTGCATCTCACTGAAAGCAAAGGATGGCAATTCTGTGGACTTCTGTCTGAAACATCATCTCCATGTCACTGCTGTTTAATACCTTTCAAAAGCTTTCTAGAGAACAGTGGTGATTTTGGAGAATGTGTAGAAAAGGAAGGCACTCTGTTCCCCTAGAATAGGGATTGGGGTGAGGGAGGGACCTCTCTGCCACGTGCACCACTGCTATATGGGCCAGTGTGGCCACGGGGACAGGATTGGCCCCTCAAGTCTGCTGTGGGAGGGGAAAATTACCAGGTCCTCAAACAGTGCTTCTAGATTGTAAAATTTATTTTAATTAATAAACATTTTTGTAAGAAAATTCTAGCATTATGGTGAAGTGCCCTCGACAGTGCCTGGCACGTTTTTGGGTGCTGCCTGAGTGCTTGCTGTGTGTTTACAGCAGTGCGCTCGGGCCACATTGCACCGGCCTCCATAGAATTGCTTTGGGTTTTGGCCCATATTATCCATTAGCCTCTGAACAATTTTGAGGGCATCACACAAAAGCATTGAGTTCTACTGGGCTCTGTTTACTGTCAGTAAACAGATGTCGTCATGGATGTTGTTTACCCCATTACACAAAGTCTCTCTGTGAAAATAAGAGAAGTTTCTCCCTTGCCCAGGAATAGTTATGCTTCCCCAAGGCAGTCGGTTTCATTTTATCCTACTTATCTGGGCATCTTTTAACTCATCATGCTTGTCTTTTTTCATTGGCTGCTAGAGTGGATCCAGATTTTTGATTCACTTCTAGTGTGTGTTATGGTCTCTATGCCATGCATTTTGTTTATTAACTGAACTTTAATTTACTTTCTTAACCTTATTTTTGTTTGTCAACTGGTACAAATAGCTGCCCCTCTGGGTGATTGTATGGGCAGACTGTTTATTATAACAAAGAGCACACTATACACAATTTAAATAAGGCATAGTTGGTGTGGTGTTGCTGGAGTCATGTGGAAGGAATCTTCCCTTTGGTCTTTCCTTCACTTCCTGCTGGAGAAGTGGCAGCCACCAGTGCTAGGCAGCTCCCATGTACATGCTGATTTTGGCACTGGCACAAAGCTTCGCATGGATGCCTGGGTCCATTTCTATTCTCTGTGCACTGAAAATCACCATCATGTGTGTTCTTTGACAGAGAAGAATTTGATCTGTTATTAAGAATTATTTTCCTTTTTTTCCCTTCTGGGTTCTGAGAAAATGTAGGTTATAATATGTCCTTGGAAGCTGGTCAGAGAGTTTCTGTAAGAACTGGAATATTAATTAATGTAGCAATAATAAACTGTTGGCAACAAAGAAGTCATTTGCAATTGTTAAGGCCCTTTATCTATGGCATACAAGAGCTTCCTTAACAATGGACAAGACACAGACTCTGAGAGGCTGCAGTGGCAGGCCATGAGTGGTGTGGCCTCAGGTGCCTTGTTTGCCATCTAGATGTGCCTGGCACAGCTGCCCTGGGCAGTGGCCCCTGGGCTTGGCTTCCCACTGCACCCTCAACACTCCTCACTAGCAAGACAACAGGGTTTGCATGCAGAATGCTTGGTCCCCATTTCTATCCTAGGACTGGGGATAGCTCTGTCACCTGCCCTCACTTAGGCAGTTCACTGGGAAGGGAGGGGATGTGAGGGGTGGGAAGGAGGTACCCTTTCTCATGGAGGGAAGTGGGAGAGCCCATTCTAAAAGTTGAGATGTGGGCAAATGAGCTCAGGACAAGGTGGGCCAATGCTGGGCCTTTCTGACTCACCCCTTTGCACAATCATGACTTTCCTCTAGGGGGGTGGACACCTGTCTCATGAATATTGGAGCATTGGTTTCACTAGACTAGCTCAGATCATCATGATAGCCACTTTCCCATTTAGCAATAAGATATTTTTCAGACTGCCAAGCGTCTGGATGGCCTATCACAGGCCGGCCTTGTTTCAGCGTTCCATCTGGCATGGAGCAAGGGGCATTGGTGTTGGGGCCAGCTAAGTGCCACTAGCAACTCCTTCCCTCCTCTTTGCCCACAACCAGGTCAGATGCACCCTAGAAAGTACAGCTCCTGTCTTTGAGATTCTACCTCTCCTCTACCATTTCACATCTTCACCCTTTCCTGTTTTCTATAGTTTCTGGCTACTCTCCATTTCCTATGTTTTGTCCCTGAGATCCCTCTGGCTGTTATTCAGGTTCTTCTCTAGTTGTTTCATCTTAGCTTGCTTCTCTCAGCTCCAGCACTATGGAAACGTGGCTTGGCCACCTGGCTGCCAAAGCCCTTGTTGGGGGATGGGGAGAGGATTGGGGTGGGAAGAGACACACGAGTAGATGTTACCTTGCAGTTTGCACCCCCATCTCCATGCTCACTGTGATGTTCAGGTTGAACCTCCATGCAGCAAGGTATAACTTGGCCTCCGAGAAGCCTGATGTGGAAGTTAAGAGATGCCAAGATCTGTGCATGAGCTGTTCCCACATACTTCTTGGTGAATGGTACCAGCTCTCTGGTCTCCTCAAAGAGCAGACCCTTGTTGTTGCCAAGCCTCTGGAGGCTGACTCCAGCTAAACCAGACCCAGCAAGTCCAGTCAAGTCAAGCACTGCTGGGTCTGGAGCTCCACTGAGGCCCTCCTGGCCAGAGGTGAGGTCATCCAGGGGGTGGTTGTGCCAACTTCCAGAGCACACCTTTCGATGGCATGTGGTCTGGTCCTCCTCATGGTAGTTTTGAAATCTTGTTTCCTGTTTTTGATGGGTGGTTTTGTACATATAATCAGTGAAACTGTCCTCACAAATTGCATACATTACATGTTCCATTTGGAAGTTGGTAAGATGTTTTTCCAACACTTTAAGTGTAATTTTTCTCTTCTCCCTTTAGTCCCAGGTGAATCACCACGGTGCTGCTAGCAATGAAACCTACCAGGAACGCCTGGCACGTCTAGAAGGAGATAAGGAGTCCCTCATATTACAGGTGGGTCCTTCTCGGTGGGAACCAGCTTATCCTGTTACCTTCAACTCTGTAGCTTCCCTTAAGTGGGAGGGGCCACCTGAGCTTTTCTCTGTTGGGATTTTTTCTGCGCCCAACGTGTATGGTTTTGTGCTGGTTTTTTTTGTCTTCAGTTTTCTTTTCTTTTTTTTAAATGCTCTCTCACCAGAATCACCAAAGTGTATGGTTTTAAAAAAAAGACTTTTCCTGAAATAAAGAAGAAATTAACCCTTTGCACTCGCTTTTTTCTCTATTCCTTTATTCTACTCGGGATTTAATGTTTTTAATACCCCAGATTTTACAAAGCGTGGCAGTAGAATAAAAAACTGGAGTTTCTTTTGATACAAACTTATTTATTTGGAGTTTTTTATATTTCATATTATTGATACATTCAAAGAGTAATTTTAATCTCTATAATTTTTGCTAACTGTGTCGAGTCACACTCGACATCCGAGTGCAAAGCGTTAACTGGGGGCACAATCTAACCCTGGACTTGGCTTTTAGGGGCTGCAAATTCATTTATTTATCATGTATTACCAAGTACCTGCCTCTGTGCATGGGAAGCCCTCTGGCCAGGCCGACTGCCAGGCACTGAGAATGAACAAAGGTGGGCCCTGTCCTCCAGGAGCCTCTGAGTCATATCACTAATGAAACAAAGCTGTGCGTGCTACAGGCCTGAGGGCGAATGCTAGTGGGATCAAGTCCCAATTGTCTGAAGCTGGGTCTCCTGGAGCTGGTGACATGGGCTAAGCTTTGATGGCTCTCTTGCTTTGAAGCGAGAACTCTAAGAGTTTTCATGGAGAAAGATAGCCAAAGGAACATTTTCACTTCTGGAAGCTTGTGTTCCCTGATGGAACATAAAGTTGAGCACTCTCACAGGAAGCCTGTTGCTGAAGCAGGAACTCTGTGTTGTGCTAGCTCTCAAAAATGTAAATTGACGTAGCAAACATTCACTCAAGGTCTGGTGTGCATCAGATACTAATTGATGATTTGGAAAATATGAAGACCAATATCCTAGTTCCAGCTCCTTAAAAGATTAAAGGGTGATATATAAGACTGGTAGTGGGATTGAGGTGAGGATGGGGGCAGGGCTGTTTGGCCCCCCAGGCTGTGGGCTTTAGCTTAGAGCACTAGAGTTGTAAGGCACCAGTACGTTTTTTCTTTTTCCTTTTATCTTATTTATTTTATTTTATGAACATAAGAATAAATGATTCTAGAGACTTTCAAAATTGTAAAAGAATTTAAAGACATAGGTTAACATTTTGGGTTTTTTTTCCTAGTGTTTTTTTTTTTTCTGTCTTCTGCCCTGCCTCTATTTTTAAATGATTGAGCTCACACCAAATATACAATTTGGCATTCTAGTTTTGTTTTTTTCTTCACTCCATTGATTTGTTCATTACAAAATAATTGAGTAGCCGTGACTTGTGGGATGCTAGTTTTAGACACTGGGTATGCAGCAGCGAACAAAACAGACAAAGTCCCTGTTCTTGTGTATCTTCTATGTGAGAGAGAGAACAATAAACCAATACATAAAATATCTCAGGCAGTGATAAGTACCATGGAAAAAAAATAAAGCAGAATGAGGGTTGTGTAGAGAGGGAAGATGGATTGTCTTGGTGGGAGGGAGCTTGCAGATGATACCTGAAGAAGTGCATTCCAGGTGGTGGAGGTGGTCAGTCCAGCCCACACACTGAGGCAAGAGTATGCTTGGTGTGTGGGAAGAACAGCAAGGGGCCCTTGTGGCTGGAGTTGGTGCCTGGGAGGAAGAGTGGTGGAGCAGGCCTTCAGAGAAGTGGCAGGGGCCAGATTGTATAGCACATTGTAGAGCAGATGTTTAAGGGATATGTAATTTGAAACTCCACTCTAATGCCATGATTAATGAAAGAGTATCCAAGTTAGTTAGAATTTTGCAGCAAACAGTATGAAATTGTAAACGTTGGAACCAGGACCCTCATGGTTGAAATAGCACACGCTTATTTAGAGAGGATTACATTTTAATAAAGAAGTCCTGTATAATAATGTTCTCTTTTACATTCATGGTTTCTTAAAATTCTGAATTCTTGAATAATCCCTATTTAAATAATCCTAACACAATTGGGAAGTTACTTGCCAGTAAAGTCAGAAGTCGACCCCCAGCGGTTTCTATTTCACCAGGAGCTTATGGGCAGATGCTAGGAGTTGCTCTTGTGTGATCACTCCCGTTCCTTAGTAGACTCACGGAGCTGGTTAGACAGATCCTCAGCAGGATAAAGACTCTTGCTTCCTTCACACAGCTGCTCGGCCAGACTGAATTAATTGGAGATCTCCTTTTCCTGGATCTACTTGTAGAAGAACAAGGCAAATCACATATAACAAAATACTTTGTTTCCATGATTAGTTAAAAACAAAACCAAAATCTTTTATAACTTCATTATAACATAACTCTTTAAGGCAAGGATTGTCATCTTTTTTTTTTTTTCTTTTATCACTTCTGTATCCCCTAGTGCCTGAAATTAGGCCTAGCATGTAGTAAGGGCTCAAAAATATTTGTTTTTATTGAATGAAGGTCACATTCTAGGTTCTTTTATGTTTTGTCCCAATTTTTTATACTCCTCCATTCATAATAGCTAGAGTTAGCACTGAGATTTGCAAAGCCCCTGCTGCAGCCCTGAATATCTTTAGACTTTTCCCGAAAATCCTGCCTTTTTGAAAGTGGAGTTAACAGTTGAAAAGGCCAGTGCTGATAGTGTTGGGCCACAAGGATTAAAAAACAAACCCCCAACAAAGGTTTGTGTTTAAGATGGACAGAAGAAGCCCATTTGGGGATTAAAAGTGAAATGTTAGCAAGTCACGCATCAACTACAGGAATATGTTTCAATAATTCATCATTTGGGATCATAAAAATGGAAAGCTTAAAGTAGCTGTATTAATTTAGATTAATTTCTTTTTAAACAGGAGCTTTATAATTCATAAGGTTTATTTAAACCCTATAAGCAAATTCATGTTCCATCTGTCATTCCATTAACTCTTTCGTGTTCCATCTGTCATTCCATTACAGACTAAGAAATAATTTAGGATAATCTATATGTAAATGGCAATGACGCTAACCGAAAGGGTCTAAAGCATCTCAATTTACCAACCATTGATTTCTTCACTTTTGGAAGGCCAGTCATTCTCTTTATCCTCCTGCTTTGAGCTATCCCTTAATAAAGGAAAAGGATCCTGGGGCAGTTTACTAATAGAGTAATAGAGAAGGCTATGAAAACCCTACTTAGTATGCATTTAGGGCATAATTTAATTGGTTTAAGTGATGCATTGTAAATGAGTTTTTAGTACTGATAATTAATATTTTTTTAATAGAGATTCTCAAGGTTCTTCAGAAAGTTGAATTTTTTTCCCTGCCATTGTATACACAATGTGGCTTCTCTATATTTGTGATTTAGAGTCATGTTTTGGCCTGTGAAGCACAAAAACCTTTTTGGAGCCAAGTTTTGTCAATGCTAATACATGCCCTTTACATCCCACATTCCTTAATTGCTTCAAAAGCCTCACCTGATAGGTGAGCAGGCCTCACACCCTTATGAGAGAGGTAAGGTCATTGGCTAGTTTCCATGGAGGTTTGGAGCACTCTTCCCCATGTGGTGGCAGAAGCCTGGGCAAGCCAGCTGAGATGTGCCTCAAGGTAGGGGCTGTCCTACAGGAGACATAGGAGCAGGAGTCCAGCCCAGAGGCAGCTCTTGTGGCTGCTGAGTGTTTTTCTCTGGAGTCTGTCATTGAGCAGGAAACGTGACGCATGTCATTCAGGCAGGGGCCGAGACTCCCTGGGAAGGTAAGACTCTCACTGGAGCTGCCCTTGACCAGGACACTTCCCCCACCTACTACCCAGCAGAAAGTAAAGCTGCTCCTCCCATGCAAGAGTCAGTGGTGGGCCCTCAGGGCTCACCTATGGTGGGGAGACTTCCCTGACCCTCCACCACTGCTTTATTTTTCTGGAACAGGTGAGTGTCCTCACAGATCAAGTGGAAGCCCAAGGAGAGAAGATTCGAGACCTGGAAGTGTGTCTGGAAGGACACCAGGTGAAACTCAATGCTGCTGAGGAGATGCTCCAACAGGTAAGGGCGGTGGGGCTGAAGGCCCTTGGATTCTGAAGCAGCTCCTGTGCCGAAGTCCCTCAGTGTGCCCAGGCTACAGCCCTCACTGCTTACTTTCCCATGCCTCGTGGAGGTGGGCTTGGCCGCTCAGCTCAGTGGATAGTGTTTATACAGCAGGTGAAACCAGCCTGAACACTGAGAGTGGCAGAGGGGGTAGGGCGGAGGAGGGCTGGCCCAGAACCTGTTGAGAACCTGTTGAGCTGGTTAGACAGATTGCCAGGCAGCACTTTCTCCAGGGCAGGGAGCCCTCATCTTGTCACAGGAGCCACAGTGGGACTGCCTGGCATCTGGGGCTTTAGAAAGTCAGTTCTCAGTTTATTCTGTGCACCTTTCCCCTCTTGCTCTGCACCCTTCTGTTCTGTGTAGTTTGGGGTTTTTTTGATAGAAGTTATTACCTAAATAATATTTTTATTTAATAGACATCAAAATGAAAAACAAATTATTTAGCTGCTCCCCTACCATTCAAATAATGTCTCCTCCTTGTTTCCTTTTGTTCTTTGTTGTTATGTTTACATATAATTTACAAAGCCATTGTCACACCAGAGGTGCAATTTAGTCCTCAGATTTTGTATGCTTGACATCATATAGTGACTTTTTTTCATTTTTAAGTTTTGCTCTGTAGTCAACTTTACTATCACTTATAATAGATTATTTTGGCCAAGTATCATAATTGACTTAATCATTCTTTTACCCATGAATAATTTTATTGTAGTACAAGGAATGAGCTGCAATGTTTAGGAAGGGGTCTTTTCAGAATTTGTTGAGAAGCTAATTAGATTTTTAAATAAAATCTATTAATATGACATATCTAATTAATAGATTTTCCCAATTTAAATTGTTTTTGCATTTTAAGTTATTTTGAAAATTATAAGTAAAATTTGTGTGTGTGCCTTGTAAGTTCCTGGTACAGCCCTCGGCACATAAAAGGTGCTCACCAATTATTTAAAGAATGAAAGTTAGTCTCTTGAAATAAGTGGATTCAATTAGATGACTGCTTATAATCTTTCTCCCAGAGTACTAACATTTTTTTTTATTGTCATGGTCAGCATAAGATTTAGATTGTTTCTTAACAGCACAGTAATAATTATAGGCTTTGCATTTTACTTTTAGTCTTAGGATAAACATCTTAGTTCTGGTGTTTGTTTTGTTTGAGTGCATTTGAAGAACTTTTTTACAAAGTATTTTTATACATGTGTCTTCATAAAAACTAGTTCCAGGAGCTCAGGAGCTGTTTGTTATCATTTCATTGCTGATTAATAAGTTACTATGTTGTTGGCTTCATTTGATTTCCTATTTAGATTGTATGCCATTTCTCTTACTCATAACATTCTCTGAAAATCTGAGTAGCAATAGTAGTTGAGTCTTTTTTTTTTCCTTTCAAGTTGAATCTTTCTTTTGAAGATGCAGAAAAGAAAATAGCCTGATAGAAAAAAAATCTCAAATGGCAGAAAAGCATTTTCATAAAAGGTGCATAATGCAACCCACTGGATTGTATTTTCAAGTCTGCACAAGGTGTCATTTTGAGGTGGGAAAGGTAAGGGAGGAAGGTAATGGAGTGTTGTAAATGATCCAGAGAGAGAGAAACCAAGAAAATTTGAATGTTGAAGGGAACACGTCAGAAGAATGTCAGAAGGTTGATGTTTCAGGGAGGTATTCACTGGCGAGTAACCACATAAAGAGAGGTCAGAGAGTGGCTGCATTGTAGTGCCTGAGTCATCTGAAGCCCGCCCGGCCTCTCCCCTGGGACTGCTCTGCACAGCTCCCCATGGCAGTGTGTCTGCTCCATTGTCAGAGTCTGTGTCAAGGAGATTTTGGTGCCCAGCACCACCTGGGGAGAGGCTGTCTTGTCTCTGTGAGCATTATCCCATGGATGGCATTTTAGACTTTTTCAAAAGTCTTAACTTTTTAAGTAATTAAGACTTACTGCAAACTAGTTCAACCTCTGTGGAAAGCAATATGGAGATACCTTAAAGCGATACAAGTGAATCTACCATTTGACCCAGCAATCCCATTGCTGGGCATCTACCCAAATGATCCAATGACACTCTACAAAAAAGACACCTGCACTCGAATGTTTATAGCAGCACAATTCATAATTGTGGAAACAGCCCAAGTGCCCATCAATCCAAGAATGGATTAATAAAATGTGGTATATGTATACCATGGAGTACTATTCAGCTCTAAGAAACAATGGTGATATAGCACATCTTATATTTTCCTGGTTAGAGCTGGAACCCATACTACTAAGTGAAGTATCCCAAGAATGGAAAAACAAGCACCTCACCAGCAAATTGGTATTAACTGAGCAGCACCTAAGTGGACACATCGGTACTACAGTAATAGGGTATTGGGCAGGTGGGAGGAGGGAGGGGGAGGGGGGAGGGGGCGGTTATATACATATATAATGAGTGAGATGTGCACCATCTGGGGGATGGTCATGCTGGAGACTCAGACTTGTGGGGGGAGGGGAGAAAGGGCATTTATTGAAACCTCAAAATCTGTACCCCCATAATATGCCAAAATAAAAAAAAAGACTTAAAAAGTCTTAATTACCCATTATATCCTGTTTGTTCTAAATCCTCTTTCTTATGAACTACTGGTGTGGTATCAGGCTTGTGGTCCCACGTGCCACAGAGGTGGGTGTCTAGACCTGGTATATTTGAGAGTATGGTACCTCTTTATGTGCCACCTCTCAGTTTCAAAGGTCTCCCTGAACTCGATCAAGTTATTTGTATGCCCATAAGCTTTCACTGTGTTCTCTCAGTTTTTCAAGGGTAAAGTGATAAGAGTGTGGAATATTCCCTTCTTGGCACATTGTGAGTTGAAGTTGTAGGATGCATTTGAACCTCAGCTCCCATTCACGTGTTTGCTGGGCTTGGTGATACCAGAGCTTGAAATCTTTGATTTCCCAGCTGCAAATCCCAAGTTGAATGTTCAGCCGCACATGCTGCTGCTCTCCTGAAAGCTGCCTGATGCTGTCTGTGCAGACACTTGGTTGTTGCACCACAGTGCGGATGCAATGCCATCTACAGCTTGGAGTGTGCATGTGTCCTGCAAACTGGGGGCAGGCAAACACTTGCCCGGTTTGACTGAGATGTCCTTGGCTGCAGGGCTCTTGGCTTCTGTTGATGGGAGCAAGAATGACGCATGCCCTGGAGACAGAGAATGGAGGGAAACAATTGCCTCTCTCTGCCAGCCTCAGAGACAGGTCCTGCCCTGAGCCAAGCCTGGCCTCCTGCTCAAAGGCCTTGGGAGGCTAAAGGAGATCCTTTCACTTTCTCAGCATAGGGCCTTCTGACTGCCAGTGGAGGAGGTGCTTCTCCCGGGTGTGCTGCCCTGATCACCCTGTGCACTGCATCCACCCTGACTGCTGCTGCAGCTGATACCCTCCTCCAGTTGACTACCTGTGTAGGCAGGCCTGGTAATGCTACATATTCCTGTTTCCATAAGAAGCTGGAAATCCAAATTTAAAGATTTAAATATGTCTATTTTTAAAGTATTGGCAGCTTATTTAAATTTAAAAAATGCTACATGAATGATACAATACATACCTATAGGTCAAACCTGACCTGCAGACCTCCAGTCTGCTAGATTTTGTCCCCTCCACTGGCTAGAATAGCAGGAGAAGGACTTAAGGAAATCCAAATCCAGTGAGCATAGCCTACGTGCTATGCTTAGATATAGGGTCACAGCCGTTCTCCTGACTAATGTTAGCCTCCCTCCAGGATCCCAAGGGGGGAGGAGTTAGTTCCTCACCCAACTTATGAGCCATGGCCTGGCCCTCAGCCTGGCCTAGCCCCATCCCTGCCCAGTGCCGCTCTCCCAGCTCCCATCTGTTTTTGTCCACACATGAACTCATCCAGCCTCCAGAAAGAGAGAACCTGGAGACCTCTCTTGGGGCAGACAGGCAAACCAGGACCAAACAGAATCAGCACAGGGGCAGATCCACACAAGCAGAACCTAGATTGTGAACACATTTGAGGGCAACATAATAATTCTTGTCTGCAGCCCTCTGCAGAGTGTGGGGTGGGAAGGGGACACTGAGGAGCATCTCTCAGGACTGCCTATGGAAGCGCCTGCTCAGATATGGTCTTAGACTCACTGAGCATGTCTGGATTGCTCAGGAAACCTTCCCCATTAAAAAGAGACATTTCTCAAATGGATCTTTAAGCGGGGAAGAGCTGAGTGAATTTTCATGGTCTGAGGTAGTCTGAGCCAGAGTGTAGAGTTCAGAGTGCTGGGCCCTGCCTCTCTGGTCCTTAGACAAGTCACAGTGTTGCCCAGCTGCACACAGAGGCTGTCATAACCCAGCGCCCTGAATTGCACCCTGGGAGTTCAGACATGGACCAGTGGCCTCCCTGTGACTGACCCAGAAATCTCTGTAACATAGGGAGGCTTCCCACTGCTCTGCCAGTGTATTTAAGATCTTTGGTGGCTTTTTTTTTTTTTTTTTTTTACAGTGGCCTCTATGGGCTCTCTAGGGTCCAGTGTCTTCCCGCCTGAGCTCCTCTGCCCCTCATCACAGACCCTCCTCCAAAGGGGGGTGATCTCAGGGAAGAAGCTAGTGCTTCTCAGTGGATAAGAGGTTTTACACTGAGCTGATAGCCAAATCAAGTATTTTCTAGGGACTTGCCATCTGTACGTATAATAAATGTCAAGAACAGAAATGATGTTCGGTGTCAAAAGGAAAATGGCACAGTGGGGAGGAAGAAAGGATGCAGACTTCCTTGTGAAGGCACAACGCTGTTTTTGGAAAACACTGGAAACGACAGCCTCTGCTTCCATCCTCCCACCTGACCCAGAGCTTCGGGGCTTAGGCACTCCACTGTTCTGGCTGCCTTTCGGGGGAGGCTGGCGAGGGGACAGATGTCAGGGTGTGAGTCTGTGGACATAAGTGTCTGTAGATTTACCATCTGCTGTTGATCTGGGAAAGTCAGGGAGCCTGTTTTTTGACTTGTAGA